GATAACCAACAAAGCCTGCCCCCCCCCCACCATCCCCATCACCCCACATTGCTCCTGAAGGCCTCCAGACCACCTCCTGCCCCAGACTGGGAAGAATAAATATTCATGTGCTGGCAAATGACCCACTTCTCAGCAGATGCCACAGCCCTGGGGCACCGTGATTGTTGGGGCTGCAAGAGCACAGGGAGAGACCCGGGCAGGAGAGGGGTCCTTCTGGGGAGGGATGCTCGATCCCAGCACTACTCAAGGAAATAGAAGTCATCTCGCCCCACCCCCCGGAACAAAGAGCAGCCAGGGGACGGGTAGTCCATGCAGATACTGCAGACCCCAGCTCCGATGGTGGGCAAGCAGCGCGTCCACCCCTTCCTGTTTGTCTCTTGCACCAGGGGCTGCCTGGCAAGGGGACTCAGCAGTACTAGGGACAGAGGACCTGGTAGGGTCAGGAGTTGGGTCCTATTGACTGTCATGCTGAGGTGCTGCGCAGTCAGGTAAAACAGGACGAGGCCATATGCCTGCTGGGGTTGCTGGAAGGACTGAGTGAGAAACATGGACGTAACTGGTGGCCGGCTGCCTATGTGCAGGACAGGCCACGGAGGGTGGGAGCAGGGAAGACATGCTGTGTGGCACTGCCTTGGGGTCAGTGGCTCCTGTGTCTGCCCCTCACTTCTCCCCCTGCCTGCCACTGTCTCCAGAAGTAACCATGTGGTTTTACACAGGAGACTGTGTGCCCTGGTGTCATGAACGGACAGGGGAAAGTGTGACCCTGCTATGTAAGCCTGAGCCTGAATGAAACAAGAGCAAAGAAACGTGGGAACTTGACCCTAAATCTCACCCTGACCAGACCCTCTATGAAGACAGTATGGCAGACTAAACTAGTGCTTCTGCTCCCACCGCATACATACACTACTCTTCAGAGGGGCCAGCAAGGGGCTCCTGAAGGCGGTGGCCTCTCCCGCAACACTTGGGCCCTGGAGGTGGCACACAGCACCTGCGTTTAAGGCAAGACCACAAGCCGAAGTGACCTTGTCCAGGCAGCCAACGAGGGGTCCCCACTCCACAAGGTCAGTTTGCAGCCGGGGCTCCAGCCAGGATAAGCTCGGCTTCAACACCACCAGCACTCGCAGCTCATTATGGCCACAGCCTACTGGGCTGTTGTAAGCCGGCAGCATCTATTCACCTGCCCCCAAGACTCCCCTTGGACACTTGACACTTGAGGAGGTCACGAAGGGCCATGGGAGCCAATTGCACTTGGCCTTTCAGACCCACACAACGTCTTTCCACTCCCACCACCTCACTAGCAGACCCCTGGCTCCTCCTCCCTGGAGACACAATGCTCGATCCTGACTTTGTTCCCTACCAAAGTCGGAGCCGCTCTGCACAGAGAATCCCAAGATAGCCTCCGCCTGGAGGCAAGGTTAGTGTTTGAAAGAGCCAGGGCATCGAACACATTCCCATTTGCTTCTTCAAAGGTACAAGCGGGACCGGTAGGGGGACCCTGAGACACCAAAGCAAATCCCTATGACAATTTCCAGGGCCCAGATGACAGCTGGCTCCGGCTGTGGACGCCCCACTAACTCACAGGACCCCAGCCTCCCAGCACCCATCTTCCAAAGGATGGAGGGAGTCTGACTCACAGCAGCTGTTGTAGGAATCACAGGATGTGGACTGAGGTCGCAGGGCGGCGCGGGGAGGAGGAATTTTCCACTAGTTAAGGTCAAGGGCTCTGGGAGGCGGGTTGGTAGCTGCTGGTGGAACAGGCTACCTTCCTGTGCGTAATTGCGATGCTGCTCACGGGCCGCCCTCGGAGCGCGTAATACCCGAGTATTCTCATTCTGTGTGCGCATTTCAGTAGCATTCCCGGGAAGAAACACAGAAGGCGCTTTCAGGGGCCTTTCTGAAAGTTAAACCACATGAAAAAGCCCGTGTCTTTACCCCCTAGAACACACTGTCCTGGAAGAGCAATGAAGGAATAGCTCTTAGCAGGCCCTTTGAGAGATGCAGGTGGACTAGGTGTGCCGTTCACCTGAGATGAAGAGATGATTTGTGCATTTACAGGTGCTCTCAATCCTCACCCCCACTCCCCACCCCCCATGCCTGCACCTGCATGCTGCTTTCCAGAACCTTCCAGGTGAAGCGTGGCTAGTAGCAAGATCAGAAGCAGCTGGCAGGGAGAGGCCCAGGGGGCGTCCTTAGAAGGGATGGCCAACCATTGAGCTATGAATGGAGCGGTAGGGAGCAAGGAGAGGACCACCTTTCTGGCCAACAGAAGAGGTCACTGGCTGGAACTAGGACCAGTGGCTTGGGCTGCCCCTGACTTCTATCGTGCAAATACGAGGCGGCTTCAAACACTTTGTGGAAACACGGAATGAAGAGATCGTGGCATTTCCCCACGAACTTTTCAAAGTCCCTTTCTTCATAGGGCTGAGCCCTGCAGGCCAACCCTGGAGGCAGGGAGATGCTGCCACCAGCCTGTCACTGAGCTCAGGATGGAGGAGGGAGACTGACATCTTTGCCAACCTCTCTTTCCTGTGGGTCACTTCCAACTCTCTTCGAGAGGGGGAGGCCACAAGGAGACCAGGAATAGTCCATGTAGGCCAGGAGATACTATTCTGTAGAAGCCCTGACTTTAGGTCCTACACCAAACCAGCTGCCATTGATTTCGTGGCAACCCCGCATGTATAGAGCAGAACTGGGCTCCACAGCGTTTTTTCAATGGCATCTTTCAGAAGATTGCCAGGACTTTCTTCCAAGGCACCTCTGGGTAAACTCAAACCACCAACCTCTTGGTTAGTAGCTGACAGCTTACCCACTGGTACCATCCGGCACCTCCCTGGCCTTGGGAGCTGCAAGCAAAGTTGTAAAAAAACTTCGGCTACAATGTAACAACTTTGATGTTGCTTCTGCCTCGAATCTCCCAAAACCAGGTAGGAGAGGACGACCAAGGCAAGAACTTGCTGAGGAAACCAAAGGCCCAGCCGGGGGGCCCTTGGGGTGGGGGTGGGTGGGGGCGGGCCAGTGTCAGCCACTCTGAGACAGCAGCCGGGTTCCCGGGTACTGCCCTTCGCCTCCATTCCTACAGCTCTTGCGTGGGTGACAATTAGCTTTTTGAATTATAAGTGCAATAACTGGGAGATGAAGGCAGTAATGAATGCCCGTCTGCCTCCCTGAAGGGTTCCTTCTGTTAGGTCAGAGATATTAAGACACAGGGAGGGAGGCTTCCATCGTGGGAAGGTTTATGGGTACAGGGATGGAACAATTTAATAATGCTGCTAAATAATTTACCAGACGAATGTATCCCCAGAGCTCAGTATCCATTTTGCTGGGGGGCGGAGGAAAAAGCATGGCAGCCTCTTACGGGACAGACCCACCTGAGGGCTCTGCCCTTTGCCCTAGAGGCTTCCTTGTCCACACCCTCTAGTGGCTAGAGATCCAGACGGATCCTTACACCTACTAACCATGCAGTGCTGTCTAGCTGATTCTGACTCATGGCAACTCTACATAATAGCAGAAATGCCCTATAGGGTTTCCAAGGCTATAAACATTTACAGAAGCCAACTGCCGCATCTTTATCCTCCGGCAGAGATGCTGGTGGGCTTGAACTGCTGACCTTATAGTTAGCAGCCAAGCACTTAACCACGGCACCACCAGGGCTCCTCTACGCCTACCAATACTTGTACTAATTTCATCAATGATGTCTGTGTAATGCTAAGAAGCTATGGGGGGGGCTCGCTCAGACCCCAGCTCTCCCGGCTGCTCTGCTGGGGAAATGGGGAGGGGGACCAGGCAGTTAACTTGCTGCCAAATTCCCACCAGACCTGCCTCAGGGAGAGCTGAGATTCACTGCCACTAAAAATCAAATTCCAGGTCCCCCAGGTGGCGCATACAGTTAAGTGCTCGATTCCTAGCTGAAATGTTGGCACCTTCCTAGGTGCCTAGGAAGACAGGACTGACGATCTGCTTCCGAAAGCCTTGGAACTTACCCTATGAGGCAGTTCTACTCTGCTCACACAGGGACGCAACTTGATGGTAGTTAGGACAACAACATGTGACAGCTACTCTGCATAAGTTATCTCATTTTACCTACAACAGTACTTACTGAAAGAACCAAGTCCTAGTCTTAGCTGAACACACAGGGCAAAGCAGATCATTCAAAGGTTCCAGAAATGTTCCCCTGGCCCCACACCTCCTCTGTATGTCTAGCAGTGGGATTCACAGACAATAGGACAGCTGGCAGGGCCTGCCAGAACCTCTGCCAGAAGAGGTTCAATTAAGTCCACCCCTTGAGAGGCGAGGCTCTCCCCTGACCCCTGCCTTCCTCCCTCCAAATCAGCTAAGTGAGGGCCACATGTCAAACAGTGTGTCACCTAGCACAACTAAATCAGTGTCAGGGCTGAGGAGCAGGGAACGTTAATAGATGCTGCAGACGTTAGAGGGAAACGTTTCTGAGTCCCACCCACAAAGCAGACAGAGATAAATAACTGCCTGGGGTTCTGTATCTTATTACTTCAGAGCTGGCCCGAGTATTATTCAGTTCTGACTCTTCCCGCCCATGGCACAAAGCAATCAAGAACGAGCCTGTGTCTGCGGGGAGGAAGGACAATGTGGACATGGTTGGGCTGCCCCTTCCTGCCTGGAGGGCTGGTCAGGGTCACCCTCATGTGGGTGGTCCTCTATGTGCCCAGCATGTATCTGTATGCTCTGTGGCTGGCCAGGGGACACTCCAGACATGCAGAGTGGCTGGAGAATAGATCTGACACTCTCACTGAACTTGGTCAGGAATACCCCCCCCATAGGATAAGTGTACAAGAGTTCAGAGCCCGGGACCCGACGAAGCCCTGAACGGATGACCTTGCGCCCTAGTGGCCAGGACACTCTGGGGGCTAGAGTCCTCTACAGTCTTTGGGACAGGGTCTCAGCAGTTCACCGGAGTGATGTAGCAGGTGGGGAAACGGTTTCCACCAGGATGGCCCCCAGTGGGGTAGAGGGGCACAGACACTTACCAAGTAGATGCGGTAGGCGTCGACTCGGCGGACGGGGCCCCAGCACAGGTCGGTGTCGTTGTACTTGGCATTGGTCTCCACGCCGCAGGAGTCATTACTTGAGGTGCTACCGTGAGAGAGGGCAATGGCAGAGCCCAGTGCGCAGCGCGGCCCACCCCAGCCCACTGCTTTCAAGGTGACGTCAAGTCAATACTGACTCATAGTGACCCCATGGGACAGGACTCCAGGTGCAGTGCTGCAGGATCAGCACTGGACAGAACCACAAGGCCAGCAGTTCAAACCCAGTAGCTGCTCCTCGGAAACCCTATACAAGGTTGCCAAGTCGGAACTGACTCAGTGGCCCTTAACAACCTAAGGGATGTTCAGGCTGTAATCTTTAGTGGGGTGGGTGCTTGGTGGCACAGGGGTTAAGAACTCAGCTGCTAACTAAAAGGTTGGTGGTTTGAATCCAGCAGCTACTTTATGGGAAAAAGACGAGGCAATCTGCTTCCAAAAAGCTAAGAGCTTGGGCAACCCTGCGGGGACAGTTCTACCATCCAGTAGGGTCACTGAGTTGGAATCAACTAGACAGCAACAGGTTAATCTTTACGGAAGCAGACTGCCAAGAGTCACTGGGTGGGTTTGAACTGTCAACTTTTCTGTTAGCTGCACAGCACTTACCCACTGCATCACCAGAGCTTGTTGATGGAGCACTGCTGCTGTTGTTAGGAGCTGTCGCATAGGGACCCCATGTGACAGAGCTAAACCACCCCACAGGGTTTTCTAGAGTCCCGGTGTGGCGCTGTAGGTAAGTAAGCACTGGACCGAAAGGTCAGTTTAAACCACAAGGTCAGCAGTTCAGATGTAACAGTTGCTCCTTGGAAACCCTATCCAGGTATTTAACAACAACCATCTTTCCTGGAGCAGATCGCCAGGTCTTACCCCAGAGGAGTAGCACTGGATGGGTTTGAACCACCGACCTTTTGGTTAGCTGCTGAGAGCTTAACCGTTGCAACTCCAGGGCTCCTGATGGAACATGAGTTGTTAGCAATCACGGAACTGCTATCTCCCTTCAGCGAGGCTCCAATTCCAGTACCCTGACTTTGCACAGACACTGTTTTCCTAGTTTGGTGGACGTGCGCCACTGTTCCCCGACAACTCGGGGGTCCTCAATGGGGATCCTGGTCACTGTCCCAGTGGGCAGTGTGGGCGTGCCCTGCCTTTTCTCTGTGCGGACAGGGCTCTCAGGAGTCTACTCCTTCCACACTGAGGGGATGTGGGGCACACGCTTCTGTCTGTCTGTCTATCTGGGGCGTGGAGGGCCCACTCACCAGGTCACCTGCATGAGGGAGAAGGGTACGGCGGCGGCATAGATGGCCAGGTCTCCATACAGGTAAATGATGATGCAGAAGTAGAACAGGTTGACGCCCACTGGAAGAAATGAAAAGACGTTTGGGCTCTATTTTGACAAGATCACGTCCCCTCCCACGGCTTTCGGTTCACAGTACTGTTTCCTTTCTACAGAAATACTGAAAACGTGATTGATCCAAACGTATTTCTGGTTCTTGGTGGTCACGTGGTGACTCTGGCAGGAGACATAGCTGCTTGAGACGCTCACCTGAGAAAGGGTTTTAGGAGGGGGACTGGGAGAGTCCGGGAGCTGCTGAACCCAGACGGGGTGGTGCAAGGTGTGGACGTGGACGGGGAGAAACTGGAGGTGCTTTTGAGCTCCAGGCAGGCACTGTGGCCCGGCAACCCACTGCAAACGCCTGCCCAGACGGATGGCTGGAGTTTTCAATGCCACTGTTCTCTGAGGACAGAGAGAAAAATGAAGTGACAGCTCCCGTCTCATCCCCGTGGCTCACAAGAGCCTCCAGGGTCCCCAGAGGAAAGCCGAGGACACGCTACTCCTGAGCTATTTGCGGTCGGCTCTGCTATGAGACGTCTGAGGGCAAAAACTAGAAAACCCAATTCTCGCAGGGAGCCACAAATTCCCTAACTCCTGCTTTTCCATCCCTGATGCATCATGGGGGCTTGAAGTCCAAGTGCTGGGGCTTCTGGGGTCTCGGCCTGCCACTCACACCCCAGGATCCTCCAGGTGCAGCCGTGTTCCATGACCAGTCCTCTCTTGGCGGGGGAGGGAACCTTGTCCTCTCCCTGCCCCCATCCTTCCCTCAACTTGCATATAACCATGGACTCTGCACAGAAACCACCATGGGCCCTCCCAATCAATACATTTCATTACTGGACACAAAACAATAAGATCAATGAACTTCCTGAGAGAACATGGACTGGGCCTGGTGCGTCCGACTACCAAAGGAGCCCAACAGCCTTTTGCCGGAGGGTGGCATCCCCTGCTAAGGTTGTTGTTGTTAAGTACCACTGCGACCCTGTATAGGGTTTCCGAGGAGCAACTGGTGAGCTTGAACTGCCAACCTTGCACTTCAAATGACTTGGCAGTCTAGTGCATTAACCCACAGCACCACACCAGGGCACCCCTGCAAGGAGACGGTGACAATCTATGAATTGGACAGAGGGAAGAGGTGGTGTTTTCAGCTGTGGTGACTTGGCTGTTAGGACTCGGGGCTGCTACCTACTGCATCTTGTGGGCAGAGGGAAGGGAAGCTGCTAAGCCTCCCACAATGCACAGGACAGGCTCCATCCCAATCGTCAGAAACCCTAGAGCAGAGAGCAGGTTTCCTATAAGACTTAGGGCTGTTCTTACATGAAATGTGTTTATTTTCTACTAAGAACCCCTGGGCCATGCCAACGACAAAGTGCTGCTCAACTACTAGCTGAAAGGTTAATGGTTCAAACCCATCCAACGCGCCTAAGAGGACAAGCCTGGACATCTGCTTCTGAAAGGACACAGCCTTCAAAAGTCTGTGAAGCAGTTCTATTCTGCACGCACGGGGGCACCATGAGCCACAGGAGACTTGATGACCACTAATAACAACACAGTAAGAGATCCATGGAGTTCAAGAGCTCTTAGTGAAATCAGGGCAGCTCTTCAGACATAAAAGTCAGAAAGGAGGCTTACAGAAGTAACCGCTCTCCTTCTGGTATGTAAAAAGCTTGCATTTGGAGAGGGACTGTGTGTGTCTGTCAGGAGTAAATGTTCTTTCTTAGTCTAAGAGATGAAGAATGATAGAAATGGAAGAAAGGAAAAACACTGAGTGAGAAGCGGGCCCAACAACCTCCCTGTGAGGCTGGGCTGGCAGGGAGGGATGGAATGAGACCCCGCCCCCAGGTAACTTTTCACTGATCAGTGGATCTTTTATGGGCCCCCAGATGGACTAGCTTAATCGGCCACACCACCAAGGAAAACCTGCACGTTTAACAGTTTGAAAAGCAGTCCAGACAGTTCTGGTTCCTCTGATCCCTCCACTCCTCCCAGCCCTCAACTGTGCGGTGACACTCAGGACTGTTAACGGTCAGCCAGCGGAGACGCCCCTCTACAAAGCAGAGCTTGAACCCATTCAGTGCAGTTTAGCTCGCTGCTGCTGAGAACTCGTCTTTCTATAGTATAATACGATAGATCTCCTAAGAATCACACGGAGCTCTCAGAATCGCCCGGAGTCTTGCTACATGGGGATGGATTCTGATTCAGTTGACCTGGGAGGACAGAGATTTCTCAGGAGAGGGATGGACACATGGGATGGGCTCAAAGCCCTGCTGCAGAGAGGGGCTTTGACAAAGGGACTGAAGATCTACCAAAATAACTGCTCGGAGAAGGACTTACTGAGGATATGTCTGACCTTTTATGAAGAGAAAATGGAAAGGTATGGGCATTTAAAAATAAAATTCAAATAGTTCATCTTCCAAAAGACCTAGATTTGCCAGAGAGGTGTAAGATGTCGCCTCAGGTACACTCAACAACCCAGTAGCTGATCTTGGCTCTCGCTCTCAAGTTGAAGCCAAAGCCCACCTGAGAACAGATACTGTGGGGAGCAAAGACCAAGAACAGGCTGTGTTTGGGATTCCTGGGCCCCTGGCTCCCTCTGCTGGCCACTGTCCAGAAGACGCAGCCCTGAACTGAAGTCAGAAGGTAACAGTGTGTCTGATACCAGACAGAACCAGGCAGAAGAAACGCGCAAGGAGTCAGAAGCTGTCAGCAACACTACTGGCCAGAGAGTATGGGCTTCCTCGGTTGGAAACCTGCTTAGAGGTCTCGGTGTGTGAATGAGAAATCCTGTTCTTTGTTCCCAAATACCAGGGGGTAGGGAGGACCCCAGGAAAACAAGTAGGGGGTGCAATAGTGGCTTGTCAGGCAGACGTTCTAGAGTGGACGACACTCTCCTTCTCAGGTACCCCATCCCTAGTCTCCAAGAAACTGTGCTCAGGTGCTAAGCGGTGCCCTGTAACAAGTGACGGTTTCATGGTTTGTAAGAAGCACATCCCGCTCCCTCCCCCGCCAGAGCAGGGCACAGTGATCCAGGCTCATACCTTTATTGAAGAACATGCCAGCCATCTGTCCCATCTCTACCCGGTCTGTGATTTCAAAGAGGTTCGAAGATCCACGTCTCTCTGCGGAGCCAAAGGACAAAGGGTTCTTCCACGTGGGAAAGCTAAGAGGCTGTTGCTGAGCTCATGGAATTTTCCAGAATAAAGAGATCCCCAAGTGGTTCACGCGCTTGAGAGACCTTTTCCTCACGTTGCTACTGCTTGAGACACTTTACAGCAGCCTATTTCATGGGAACCCGGGAGTGCTCTTTGCGGGGTGGAGTAGCGGTTCTTGTTGCTGGCTTGATCCAGGAGGAGATGTGTGTGTGTGCGTGCATGCGCACACGTGTGTGCAAACGTGTTGAGGTTGGGAAGCGGGAAGACCTGACATTTACTCCACTCCCAGTGTGCAGCATGCATCCCTTGTTCACTGAAAATACGAACTGGGAATTCTCATATGTCCCAGTGGCAGATACTAGAGGGCAATAGGGTCCTCGGGGCCAGGCAGGAGCCCAGTTTTGACTGTACTATGGACATGGACAGTACCTTTCTAGGCGTCCACCACCAGGCAGGAAGTACCTAAGAATCTGTGTATGTTTCTCTGTGTGTGGGGCTCCCCAGGCCCTTCTCCACGAAGGCAGGGAACTCCCAGGAGGAGGGGCAGGCCTGCCCGGGACCCCGAGACTTACGCACAGACAGGATGGGTCGCCTCTCAGCCCGTTCATAGTTGTCCTGGGCGAGAACATCGCTGTCAGAGGTGGTGGACGAGTCCTCCTCGTCCTCCTCCTAGGACAGGAAGAAGGGACACACACAGGTAGGAGGAGATGAGTCTAAAGCCCGGGAGCACGTGAAAGCGTGTCTTCGTGATCTTCCTCCACAAACTATGGGTCTAGGAAGCTCTCATCCTTCCATGTTGCAGCTGCTGTTAGGTGCCATCAAGCTGACTCCCCAAGTAACTGAGAGCTACAGCACAGGGTTTCCTCGGCTGTGATTTCCATAGGAGCAGATCCCCATGCCTGTCTCCCAGGAGCGCTTCTTCAACCTTCCCTACTGCCACCTTACAAGGTGGCAGCCACGTTCAGGAAGAAGCTGCAGCTCGGCTCCCAGCTCTGAAGGTTCAGGGTGACCAAGCTGAGTGGCTGCATATGTACTACAAACACAGGAGATGGGGTCTGCAGATGCACTGTACCGCAGAGGAAAGGCCTGGCTGCCCACATCAGCCTCTCTGGAAGGAGCATGCGCGTTGCACGTACCTTGTGGCTTTCCATCCTCTTCCAGCGGAGCTGAGCGTTGGCTGCGGCCATGGCTTCCACCACAAAGGTCGTGGTCACAAAGCTGAAGGGGGCAGGCAGGAGGGTGGAACAAAGACGGAAAATCATTTTAAGAACTGAGAATGTTCCAGATGGGTCCTACCTGGTAAAGTAAACGTGTGTGCACCTACACCCGTGCGCACTGGCTTCGTATATCCTGGCTGTATCTAGACTTTATTTTCTGTACAGCTGGGGACAGGGGCTGGGAGTAAGTTGATGGGACTGTTTAAGCGGGAGAGCAAGCCAGGAGGTAAAAGCGGGGTCGGGCAACCTAGTACCGCACCCCAAGGAAGCGGTCTTTGGGGAGCAGAGGTGCGGCCGACGGGGCATGGAAGGTTGAGTCACAAAGGGGCCTCCCAGAGCTGCTGGGAAGGACAGCAGACACTTCTCCCTCTCCTTGTGGGACAGACGTGTGGTCTGCTCCCAATTGTATAGCCTAATAGAGGCTGTGAAGGCAAGGATAATGGAAAACAGAGGACTTGTTTCCATTCACTGCCCTCGCTGGTTGGCAATACTTTTACATTCTTAATCAAGCTTTCTCTGGCTCGTCTGAAAACCACCTGACATTCCAAAGGCCAAGATCAGAAGGGAGACGGGGAAGCGGCACCAGACGCTTGCTGAGAAGTCTGGCAAGAAAGGACAAAAACCACCTAGTCTCTTCCTCTTAAGGAAACCCATGGAGCACAGTTCGACCCCATCCTATAAGGTTTCTAGGATTGGAATCCACATGACAGCATGGGGTTTGGGCAGCCATCTGAGGAACCCATGAAGCTGGTAACCGGGACTGTGGACCACTGGGCTGCGTGGAGGCTTCTGTTCTCGGAAGATGAAGGGGAAGCCAGCTTCCTGCTACTAAAACGTGAGACACGTCACTAACCCCACAAGGAACCACCTGGGGGCACCGTCAGCACCCTCAGCACTGGACTCAACCCTGCATCCCCAAGTGCTGTCAACCATGGCGGGCTGGCTGCCGGATCCCATGGGTGGGCAGTGGGTGGGAGAGGAAGCCCTTAGCCCCACTGGAGTTCAAGCCACACTCCCTCCACTTCTTGGGGGCAGCCAGCTCTTGAAATGCCCAGTCCCATCACCTGAGCAGCTCGGGGAAGGTTTCTTGTCATTTTGCCTAAGTGACTGTTTTCAGGGAACTACATTTCCTTTTCTGTTTTGAAGGAAAACTCAGCTCAATCTCAGTTAAGGAATAGAGAGACTTTCCACAGCTGTGCAGTCAGCTCATTGATCTTATTCAAACATAAAGGGGTTCAGAAGGAGGACCCCTTGTTGTTGTTGCTGAGTGCCGTCGAATCGATTCTGACCCAGAGTGACCCTGCCTAGGGTTTCCGAGGAGCAGCTGGTGAGCTTGAACCACTGACCTCACAGTTCAAATGGCTTTGCAGTCCAGCGCATTAACCCACAGCACCACACCAGGACTCCTCAGATGGCTGCCTGTGCTGATGGTCCTTTGTTGTTGTTGTTGTTGTTATGTGCTGTGGAGTCGGTTCTGACTCATAGCAACCCTGCATAGGGTTTCCGAGGCTGTAAATCTTTACAGTCCTTTAGGGAGGACCAAAACTGAACCCCTTGCTGTCACATGGATTCCAACTGCTAGCGAGCCTGTGGGACAGGGTCCAACTGCCCCAGAGGGTTTTCAAGGCTGTCATCTTTATAGAAGCCGGCTGAACATCTGTGTCCCTTGGAGTGGCTGGTGGATTCAAACCACCACAATCAGTTAACGGGGAAAAGCTTCAATCGCTGGGCCGCTAGGGCTCCTCTTAAAAGGGCAGCAGAGCCATCTAAGGACAAGGATGTCTGAGGCTCTTGGCTCCCAGTATACAATGAGTCAACAGTACCCCAGGGTTGGCCCCAGAAAGAAATGCATAAAAATACTGAAAAATGTGGGTCTTCATTCAGCCTCTCCTAAGTTTTCATTTGCTTCCACGATTGTGTTTTCTGGTTGTGATAGCTGTGGCTGGCTGCCTAGGAGCTGGCTCTGACTCACAGTAGACCTGCCCCATAGGGATTTCTTGGCTAGCATCTTTGTAGGGGCAGATTGCTAGATCTTTCTCCCGTGGAGCCTCTGGGTGGGCTCCAATCACCAACCTTTCACTTAGCAACTGAGTGCTTAGCTGCTGTGCCACTAGGCCTCCCTTGCTGGAAGTTATATCACCAGTATTGCAAACACCAGCAGGGTTACCCCGGGTGGACAGGTTCCAACTGCACTCACAGACCAGGAAGCAAGGCTTGGTGACCACCTTCCAAACATCAGCCAGTGGAAGCCTTCAAGGTCACTGGAGAACACCAATGGAGTGCTGGGAGGCGGGCCGGAAGGTTCAAGGCACTTAACACAGGTGCAGGGTCGGTGCCAGGTGTGACCTCAGACCCACAAGTCAGATCCCTGGGAAGAGCCTCAAGCAGGGCCTCCCATTTGTGGTGTCCCCACTGCAGAGTCACTAACACCTGAGTGGGAGCCCCAGAAGGCTTGCCACGGTACTGTGTCCTGCACGCAGCACGTGAGACTAACATGGGGGGTGGGGCACACACCTGTTTACGCCTCTGTGTGAATGATCTTAAGCAAATTCTAACTTTCCAAATGACTCCCCCCTGCCCCACCCCATAAATGCGGTCAGGCTCTTCCTCTGAGGCAAGTGGGTTATGTACTTGGAACTCAAAAACAGACACATGAGTAAGGTATAGCACAGGGGTGGGTGGGAGGGTGAGGGTGAGGGTGTGTGTGTGTGTGTGTGTGTGTCTGTCTGTCTGTCTGTGGCTGGGAGACCTTTATATCTACCTTCCTCTCCAGGTGACTGATGTTAGGATTTACTCACCAGATCGCCTGTAGGCACCTGCATGTTAACTTCCTGGCCGACTCCTCTGGCTTCCCTCCCAGCCCCCAGCAGCCAGCCTCCCAGGGTTGCTTACCTCATGAAGCTCAGGAACACCAGCAGGACCAGGCTGACGAGCCAACCAGCACTGGCAAAGGCCTTGGGCATGGTGAGCGCGCCTGTGCCCACAATGAGGTTGAACATGTACACCAGCCCAACCTGGAACCAACAGATGTCACAATCAAACCCAGAAATGGATTCACCTTCTCCCCTTGGCAGCTCTCCAGGAGGACTCTGGGTAACAGCTGGGAAGACCCTCGCTTAAGTCCTAAGGAGGGCCGCTGGGAATGTGAATGCTGGAGAAGCCAACATTAACACTTGGTCTACTCTGCCGGCCCCATGCACCACTACCCCATCATTTTGTATCACTCAAAGCTGCCCCATAGATGGCAGCTCTCTGCTGAACCACGCTGTACATTCTGAGAACAGAGCATTCTACCTGAGGTCAAAGAGGAACACCTAAAGCGGGCCTCAAGGAGACAGTCATGTTTCCAATATCTCTGAACATGCGTCTCGAGCCTCACTCCCTGCCTACTCCACCCGCCCATCCCTGCCATGGACCCTTGAGCTGCTGAATTCCCCTTGTACCACCTTTGCTCATGACCGACTCAGGTTTTTAAACCGTTTTAAGTGAGATATAGTTCACCTATCCTAACAGTCCTGTTGTGAAGTGTATACTCCAGTGGCTTCTAGTTATGTTCACCAGGTTGGCCAACCATCTCCACTAACAGATTCCATTCCAGTACTGCAAACAGAAATCTGTCTCCATTAGCACATCTCCCTAGTGTCTTCTCCCTGCCAGCCCCTGGTGACCGCTCAGTTACTCTCTGTCTCTCCACTTCCATATGCTGACCATCTCCTACAGAACATGGTTACTGTTTTCAAGGTTCACCCACGGTGTAGCAGGAATCAATATTCATTCTCTTTTGAAAATTGCTGAATATTATTCCACTGCAAGGATATACAGCACTCAGGTAACCCATCCAGTTGTCCCTTGAGGGTTATTTGGGCTGCTGCCATATTTTGAAGAGCAAAGATGTCAGCTTGAGGACTAAGGTGAGCCTGACCCAAATCATGGTATTCTCAATAACCTCATATGCATGTGAAAGCTGGACAGTGAATAAAGAAGACCAGAGAAGAATTGATGCTTTTGAGTTGTGGTGTTGGAGGAAAATATTGAAAGTGCCCTGGGCTGCCAAAAGAACCAACAGATCTGTGTTGGAAGAAGTACAACCAGAGTGCTCCTTGGAGGCCAGGATGGCCAAACTTGGTCTCTCATACTTGGGACATATTGGTAGGAGGGACCAGTCGCTGGAGAAGGGTCTCACAATTAGTGAGGTGGAGGGTCAGAGAAAAAGAGGAAGACCCCAGTGAGATGGATTGGCCAAGTGGCAGCATCAATGGGCTCAAGCGTGGCAACAATAGTGAGGTTGGCCCAGGATTGGACACTGTTTTGTTCTGCTGTGCATAGGGTTGCTATGGGTCGGTACTGATTCAATGGCACCTGACAACAACATTAGGAGTAACATGGCAGTTTGAAGACTAAAGTGTGCTTGACCCAAGTCATGGGCGTTTCAATCACCTCATGCATGCATAAGCTGGACAATGAATAAGGAAGATGATTGAAGAATTGATGCATCTAAGTCCTGATGTGGTACTGGAGGATAAGCAGTGGGCTACTAACCACAAGGTTGGCGATTCAAACCTACCAGCACCACTCCTTGGAAACCTTATGAGTTGGAACCGACTTAATGGCACTTAAGAACAACAGTAACAAACATGCATGAACAAGTTTTTGGTGGACATGTGCTTTTAGCTCTTTGAGTAAAGCCTTGGTGTTGTGTAAGTGCTCAGCTGCTAGATGAAAAGACGGTGGTTCAAAGCCACCCAGGGGCTCTGCAGGAGAAAAGACTTGGCAATCTGTTCCTACAAAGGTTCTTGGTGGTGGTGGTTGTGTGCCATGGAGTTGGTTCCAACTCAGAGCGACCCTGTATAAATCTTTACAGGGTCAAACAGCCTCATCTCTTTTTCCACGGAACTGCTGGTAGTTTCAAACTGCTGCCCTTGACTTGGAACCTCTATACTAGGAAACCTTACCCTACAGAGCAGTTCCTCTACTCTATTCAAAAATCACGGTCACCATGATTGTTTTAGGCAAATCTGCTGCAAAAGCCCTCTTTAAAGTGTTAAAGAGCAAAGATGTCACTTTGAGGACTAAGGTGTGCCTGACCCAAGCGATGGTATTTTCTTTCAATCGTCTCGTATACATGTGAAAGGTGGATATGAATATGAAGGAAGACTGGAGAAGAACTAATGCATGTGAGTTACGGCATTGGAGAGGAGTATTGAAAGTACCATGGATTGCCAGAGGGACAAACACGTGTGTCTTAGAAGATAGTCAGACAGAATGCTCCTGAGAAGTGAGGATAGGGAGACTTTGTCTCATGTACTTTGGGCATCTATTGGGAAGACCAGTCCCTGGAGAAGGACATGGCAAAATAGTTGGTGGTGTTAGGTGACCTCGAGTTTGTTCCAACTCATAGAGAGCCTATATACAAGAGTATGAAACAGGGCCTTGTTGCTGTTAAGTGCCGTTTGACTTCGTTCCAACTCAACGATCATGCATAGGGTTTCCAAGGAGTGGCTGGTTAGCTTGAACTGCTGACTTTGCAGTTAAAACCAACCCTGCAGTTGAGTGCAAGGACTCCCAACACGGCCTGGTACTGTGCCAGTCTCATTACTGTTGCCATGTTTGAGCCCATTGTTGCTGCCACTGGGTCAGTCCATCTGGTTGGGGATCTTCTTTTTTGCTGACCCTTTACCAGTCATGATGTCCTCCTCCAGGGATTGGTCCCACCTGATAAGAGGACCAAAGTACTTGAGTAACATGCCCAACGTACGTGACACAAAGTCTCACCAACCTCGCTTCTACGGAGAATTCTACCAGTACTTCTTCCAAGACAGATTTGTTTGTTATTTTGACAGTTTATGATACTTTCAATATTCTTCCCCAGTCTTTCTTACTCGCTGTCCAGCTTTCACACGCATATAAGGTGATTGAAAATACCATGGCTTGCGGTCAGACACACCTTAGTCCTCAAACTGAAATCTTTGCTCTTTAATACTTTTACACTTTGCAGATTTGCCCAATATCCATTTGATTTCTTTTTTTAAAATACTGTACCAGATGTACTGTAAATAACTTCTCCCAATCTGTGGTTTGGATTTTTACTCCTGTTCCCCACCCCCATTTAATGTTTATTAAGCAAGTCATTCATGCTCATTGCAGAAAAACGAGAAAACATAGCCTACCAATTAAAAATCACCCATAGGTCCAATACACAAATGTAATCACAGCTAGTATCCTAGCGCATTTTTTCCAGGCTTTACTTTACTTACTCTCTGTGTTTACGTATGTATGTATGTGTGTGTGTATATATATACAAAAACTGGACTCCTGATGTAGCGCTGTAGGATCAGCACTGGACTACTGACTACAAGGTCAGCAGTTCACACCAATTGTTCCTCAGAAACTGAAGCAACCTTATATGCTACAGAGAACTGCTCCATAGGGTGTCCTTGGCTGTGATATTTACAAAGCCTTTCATTTTCTTCTGTTTTGTTTTTCTTTTCGTGTTAGGGGTAAGGGGCAGGTTAGGGCTAAGAGTAATGATTGATCGGGTTTTTCAGGTTGTAGTTAGGCTTATTTTTATTTAGTTATTTAAAATCTATTTGATTTCCTCTTCATTTGGATGTCTGTAACTACATTAGTCCCTTTTACTTCATGGTGCTTTTTTGTTGTTGTTGCAACTGTATCTCCGGTTCCCTATTTTCAGTCACCTAGGCTTATTTTAAGGAGCTCTGGTAGTGCGGTGGTTATGAATCGGGCTGCGAACCACAAGGTCAGCAGTTCAAAACCACCAGCTGTTCCTCAGGAGAAAGATGAGGCTTTCTGTTCCCGTAAAGATTTACAGCCTCGGAAACCCTGTGCAGGGTTACTATGAGTCAGAACCAACTCCACGGTACTTAATAACAAGAAGAAGCTTGTTTTACTATGAGCACTTCTGTATCTGGGTTGAGGGGCTGTGGTGACTCCATGCAATAAGCACTGGACTGCGAACCACAAGGTCCGCGGATCGAGCCTGCCAGCCGCACAGAGGGAGAAAGATGAGGCTTTCTGCTTCCTCGAAGATGTAAAAGCCTCAGGAACCCTATTCAGGGTTGCTATGAGTCAGAACCGATTTGATGGCACTTAACAACAACAACAACAACATAGCAGGGTTGAGATCTGGGTGATACTGTCAATGTATGTCGGTGTCACGTTGTTGTCTGCTATTGTTGGTTCTCTGTCCAAAGAACTCCTTTTAGTATTTTTTGTAAGGTTGGCCTGGTTTTTACAAATTCTTTTCATTTCCGTTTATCTGATAATGACCTAATTTCACCATCATATGTGATGGATAATTTTATTGGCTATGTGATTCTAGGTTGGCAATTCTTTTCTTTCAGAGTTTTATCTATGTCATCCCATTGTCTTCATGCTGAGAAATCAGAGCTTAGTCTTATCAGTTCTCCTTTATAGATAACTTTTTGTTTTTCCTGACCTGCTCTCAGTATTCTTTCCTTGTCTTTGGTTTTGAAAAATTTGATTATAACATATCTTGGTGTTTTATCTTTTGGAATCTGTCCTGTGTGGAGTTCATTGAACTTGTCATCTTCCATGACATTAGGGATGTTTCTTCTAACAACTATTGGGCAATATTCTGTGTTTGTATTTTTGTGTCTTCCTGTTCTGGAATTCCAGTCACACGTTTTAAGTTTTTCCTTTGCTAGAACCCCACATAAATCTTAGCTTTCTTTGTTCTTTTTTCTCTAACAAATGAATAGTGAAAGATTTTTCTCCAAGTGCAGCCATTCAGCCTGCCATTCATTCATTTCCACTTCTTTGCCCTTTCAGCGTATTAATCCATTTCTGAAGTCTTTGTGTTAATCTTCTAGATCTCTAACTGTTGTTTGTGTATGGTTTCTATTTTCTCATTGATCAGTTTATTTCCTGAATTCTTCTATAGTTTTGCCTGTGGTTTCCTTGATTCCATCTGCAGTTTTCTTGATCCCTGTCTCAATCAGCTGAAGGTGCCTAAACAGTGTTCTCTGAATTCTAT